GACAAGCAGGCAGCAGCATGACCGGCATTAGAATCTTCTTCCAGCCCACAGCTCCTGTGAGATACTGTAGAAGACTCTGGCTGGCAATAGCCTATGCTCTTCCCTCAACACTGGAAGCAGCCCCTAGAAGAGCTGAGAGGCTGTCTCCAGATCCCTTTGGGGATGAGATCCTTTCAGTCTAGACAGAGAGATGGCCACCTCCCAAGACAATACTCAGAGGCCACAGAGTTGTAGGGGCTCTCAGAGGTGACAGAAGGCCACACCACCCCTCCTTTCCATGTCTGCACTGTTGCAGCCATTCTTGATGTAGCAGGACACACCAGTGCTTTGGCATGTCTCTAGAATGGGGTTCTGCAAAGTACTCCCCAGAGGTTAGGTTAGGTGGAGTGCGCTCTCCTTCCCTGTCCAGTAGATGCCTCATTACAGACGGGACCAGGGGTTCCCAGGAGGGAATGGTAGGAGCCTTAGGTCAAGGAGGCCAAGCCTACACCTGGAAGTTATGCCAAGGAAAGTGGGCTTTGTCCCGGAAGGAGGCAGCAGGACCCTTCTTTGCAGTCACAAAGACCATAGGCACAGGCAAAAGAAGGTTCCAGGGCAGAGCAGATAGAATGAGGGATAGAGCAGAGAGGGAAATGGAGGTGCAGTGGGAAGAGAGAAGGAATAGGGAGGGATAGAGGGAAGGAGAGATCTGGAAAGGGACAATCAGGTGGGAAAGAACACAAGAGAGAAACCAAGAATAGATAGATACTCAGACACAGAGACAGGAAGACAGAATGGCATACAGAAACAGAGGGAGACACGAGAGAGACACACTCAGAGATGGGCTCAGAGGCATCTCTGTGGAATGGGGGAGGTCAGAGGAGAACAGAGCATCACTGCTGAGCTAACCCACTTCCCTGCTCCCTACAGACAAGGAGACAGAGGCCCAGGAAGGGGATGGACTTGCCCCAGGTTATACCATGTATGGACCTTCAGGATTGCTTTGGTGACCAGACATTAAAGCTGGGCTCATGGAACCCTGGGTGAAGGCAGAGGCCACTGCCTGCCCCTGAACTGAAGTGCTAAGTCCTCACCTTCCCAGGCTCCCTTGCAGCTAGGGCTTAGGCATGTGACCCAGAGGCCCCTTTTCCTCTACCCAAAACATGCACCTGCTAGAGGGAGTTAGTGAACTGGCGTCTACAAGAGAGACAGAGAAAGTGTCTCCAGTAAGGGCTGCAGGCACTTAAGACCCCAGAGCAGTTGTCCAGCAGGATTGTGACCCAGATGGTGGGATGGGAGGTCAGGGGCAATGTCATGATCTTCTCAAATAAGGTGTATCTCCCTGAGTTGACAGTGGCATGGGGGCACTGGCATGGCCACCTGGGGAGAACAGGGATTCCCTCACTGGCTCTACTCCATCCCATGTTCTTGGATGAGGGCCTCCAATCTGGTTCTCAACCCACTCTGTGATTCCATAAGCTCTTAACAAATTCTTCTCTCTGCTTAACCCAGCAGAGCTTCTGAGCCAGGGAAGCAGCAGAACCTTGGTTAAATCCTTGTTCTGTTATGAGTTAGGTCACTTAACTTCCCCAGGTGTACTATGAGGATAATACTATGTTCCCATCCCTGGAGGGGCATAAGGATTAATGAGCTTGACAACAGTGCAGACATGAAAGCGCATGGTAGTGTGAGCACACTGCAGGGGCACACAGCTACTAATGTGGACTAGCATGGGTGACCTTGCAAGAGTCCCTTCCCTTCCCTGGGCCATTGCTGCACCCAGAGATGGTCTCTGGGTGAGACCAGTCAAAGCTCTGACCCAGCCTCCGAGACTCGCTCATGCACATCCTGAGAACCACCAGATGGCTTCCCTCCACCCGTGGTGCCCTCTGGGGCTGTTCTCCACCCAGCCAGCTGCTTCCTTGGCATCTCTGCTAAGGTGTTCCTTCAGCTTCTCAATGTCAGCACATCTCCCACTGTGCTCAGCAGTCTCCTGTGTGCCTGGGTCATCCGTGCCCCTCCACCTTTCCTTCTCCCACCTTGTCAATTCCAGTGCCTTCTGCTCGACCCCAGGGTACAGCACCCCTTGTCACTCCTTTCCTTCTTGAAGAATGAGTGTCCCCTCTGCTCCTGAACTTGTCCAGGCTCCATCCTGCACTGACAGTGATACTGTGCATCATCAGCTCTCCATTTGCCTCTCTGGTCTGTTTCTTTCTCCACATGATGCTCACTAGTCCCCAGCCACAAAGCACAGTTCCATATCTGGGTCTTTACTCATTTTCCCTGAACTAGATTGACTCTCCTATGCCTATTTGCATTGGCCCAATAAATCCAACCTGACCCTAGAGTTGCAGGTCAGATGGCTGAGTTCCCCCACTTCTCCAGGCCTAGAGGCTTCCTTTGTCCCCTAAGCTTGCCTTCCAAATTCAACATGTCACTCTTGGAAGCAGACTTTCCCCATGGTTAAAAGTGAGGGCTGTGGGTTCCGTGCTTGCACTGGTGCATAGGATTGGTTAGAAGCTTGAACAAGTGACTCCATGTCTCCAGCCTCAGTGTTCTTGTCTGCCATGTGGACATACAAGCAGCGTGTATGGGGAGTGGGATCTCGGGTGCAAAACTCTCTTGGTGGAATCTGGCCCCTGGGCAAAGAGCAGCCCTTGATTGTTTTGTGGCAGTTTCTCTGCACTCTGCTGAGTTGAAAGATTTCAGGGACCACCGCCTAAGCTACTCTCCCATCTGGGCAATTCCTGCCCTCCAAGGAATGAGGCTTCGGAGGGGTTTGGAATATGAAGACTGGGGAAGGAAGAGGAGCCCAGACTGCCTTGCAGGCTTCTGATAGGGCTGTTTTGTCTGCATCCTTCTCTAAAGGAAGACAATGAAGGCAAATGGAGAAGGAGGAGGCAGCAGCTGGCTGGCCAGGGCAGGCAGGAAATCAATCAATCACAAACTCGCATTGCCATTAGCTGCCTTGGCTCTTCCCACCTGGGCTGACTGTCTGCTGTCCTCCAGCCCCAGGTACCTGTTAATGGCAATGCCCCCCACCCCAACCCCATGCTCCTCTCATTCCCTGGGAGTTACAGTGCAGAAAACTCTTTGGTCCAAGTGGAGAAAATTGTTCATTAGACACCAGGGGATAATTGCTACCACATTTATCAACCCCAGTGCCCCAGCCTTTTTTCAGCTTCAAGTTTGACTTGATGTGAATGGTCTGGTATGTGCTGTCCCTATCCTCCTCCCCCTTCCCTCCCCCATCAGGGCTTATCACTGTATATTAGTTTTGTCTGCTGCAATTATGAATGAGGCCTTCAATACAGTGCCAATGCCTTGTGTCATATAATAGGTGTTCAATAAATTGGTTGAATCCTATTGTGCTCATTTCTGCTCTGAAGAGTCCAGACTCTGCCCTTGATACAGGGGGTGGGGTTTCCAGGCTAACTGGGGAGAACAGGAAGTAGGGCAGGCTAGGTGAAGAGCAGAGAGGTAGGGTTCCCTCAGGCTCACAGGCTGTGGGTTGAGAAGTTTCATTTCCCTATTTGGCCCTGGATGACCCTTAGTTGCTGAGCACAGACTGAATCAGGCACAATGATCTCCACTGCCACATTCCACAAAGCTCACAGAATACACACACACACACAAAAACAGTCTTGTAACATGAGAACTGGGAGGTCATTTCTCTAGCTTGCATACCTCTTGGGTTGGGGACCTCACTTCCTCCTATAGAGTTCTGTTTTAATGGATAGAAAGCAGGATCTCAGGTGATGCGGAATCCTTCCTCAGAGGTCCCACTACCTCTACCAGTCCCTTCCATTAGGAGCATCTTGCCCTAGATTCCACAGAGTAGGGCTGCTCCCTGGGTCCACCAGAGCCCTCAGCTGGTGCAGCTAGGGGAGTGCAGTTTGGCACCAAAAGCAAGCCTGCTATCTTGCCTTCTAACCATCACTCACCATGAAGGACTTGGAATGCGTGGACAAGCATGTATGCATGCATGCACGCATGCATATGTATATGTGTGGCAACAGAGGAGCTGGGCCACCATTCAGATGTGGACACTCAGGGCTTGATACAATGATTTGAGGAAGGGACTTTAGACAAACAGCCCCCACATCAAGTCGGCTGGGGGGTGCTCTATTGTTGGGGTAAGGCTGGAGATGTGAAGGGTGTTCATTGTGGGCCAGTGATCGCTGCATCTACAGCCGCACAGGGACCTCACATCTGGCTCCCATTAGACCTTCCACAGGGCATAGACATAAGGCAATCGTAGGCACAGATGCGCGTGCACACACACACCCTTCGCCACAACCAGAACCCTCACTGAACACCTCATCTAGAGGTGTTCTTCTTCTGCCACCCTCTTCCTCAGTGTCCAGCCAGCAGTGATTTGCCAGGAGGAAGGAGGGGCAGGCTGTTCTCTCTGGAAGGTGGGGGTGGACCTGATTCAGACCCCATGCATTACCTGGAGCTGCCACACAGGAGTAGTCCTGCCTACTATGCCTGACTCACAGACTTGTGGGCCAGCCTGGGGACATCTGGTTAGGAAAGAGGTGACATTTTGTACCTCTAGCTCCCCTGTCTATGCTCTGTTTGATCTCCCTAACATATATGCTCACCCCATCTTTCTTGCCTCCTAACCTCCCCCTCTCTTCTCCAGTAGTGAAGAATCTAATCACCACGGGGGGTGGGGGACACGGTAGAAGAGCAAGCATATATACGACCACCGCACCGGCTCCAGGGTCAAGGGAGCATCCTAAAGGAAGAGATGAAGCCTTAGTGGGGAAACTTCAGGTAGCAGTGTAGGAGAGATTTGACCTTAAAAAGGAGGAAATATTCCCTTCTCCCTTTCTTGACTTTTTCCACCCAGAGTCCAGGAATGGTTACTGCCCACAGTTACTGAGGTTGGAAGCTGTGCGATACTGCGCCTTCTGCAGGTTTCCGACACAGGGTCCAGAACCCTCCCCTCTCCCTGAACTGCACTAAAGGGAGGCCGGCGCAGAGCCCGCAGCCAAGGGCCGATGGACACTCACGGGTCGTGTTGTACTTGATACCGTTGAAGTACTCAGGGCACGGCCTCTCCACGAGGGCTCCAGCCGCGCTCCGGGGCCAGCAAGTACCGATCTGGTCCAAGGTCGTGTTGCAGTAGGAGTAGGGACCTGGCGACGGGAGAGAGCAGAGCGGATCACAGAGGGGTCGCTGGGGCGCAGGGTGCTGTGAGACTCACGGCGCCGGGCGCTGAGAGCGCGTGGCCCTGGAGGCACCGAGGGCGCCGGGGAAGGAGCCCGCGCCGCCTCTGTCCTCTCGCCTCCCGCCTACCCTCGGGGTCCAGGGACGGTCCCCAGCCGTCCAAGAGCAGCTCTTCAGCCAGCGCCAGACTGCAGTTGGCCTCCAGCAGGCTGTGGAGCAGTGCCGCGTCCATTGCGTCCCGGAGCTGCGTGTGGAAAGGGAGTGGGAGTGCGCGCCCGGTGTGGCAGCCAAGAGTGGGTGTGAGGGCGAGCGGCCGAGAGAGCGCAGGGTCCAGGTCCCTGCCTGTCCAGCCCTGACTTGTCGGGCAGCCTCCCGCCGCCACCCCAGATTTCCCGGAGCTGCCAAGCCAGGACCTAACCGAAGAGGAGCCGCGGAGTGCGGAGCGGTGGGTCCACCCGCTCGGCCGCGGCCAATGACGGCGCCGGGGGGCGGGGCCGGGGCCGGGGCCGGGACCAGGGCTGGGGCCGGGCGGTTCCCCTGATCGGACTCAGTCTGCAGCCCACGGCCCCGGGTCCTATTTCTCAGGTCCTGGCTCTCTTCCACCAGCAAAGTTCGGAGGAAGCCGGCGGGCTGGCGAGCTTAGGCCTGGGGTGTGGAATGCCCCATCCGAGGAGAATCCCAGGTCCCAGTGCCGCAGGGACAGCAAAAGGCACCCGCCTGTCCAAGGAACCCACTGCAGCCTCCCTTACGGTGGGATAGCTGCCAGCCAAAGTCGGGCGACTCTTTGCCCGAGTTTCTTCTCCATGAGCAAGAACACTAGAACGGGGCGTGGGGCGCACCGTCCATATGCAGATTTGCACCCTTTCTAAGCCGCCATAGCCTCTAAGAAGGAAGTGGACTGGAGGAACCTTGAGGGAAATCGGGAGGCCACTAAAGAGAGTCTAATGAGATCGAGTGTCCTGAATGGACGAAGACCTGCACCAGTGCATTTGAGCTAGAGCTCAACCTGGGAAGGGGGCACTGGAGAGGGAAGGAGGCAGGTGACATTCAGCAGAAGTTAGAAGTCAGGGATAACACCAGGTCTCCCATTTGGCTGACTGAGGGAACACTATTGCCATTTAATGAAAAGGGAAATTCTAGAGGAGAAATTGATTGACATTAAATGGAAGATTTCAAACACCAGGATATGAGTGGCCCGGGCACCAAAGAATGAAGTGAGAAATGAGAATATGTCTCTTTTCCTCCTGAATTGGACAGAATCACCTGACTGGTGTCTGTACTAGTAGAGGGGGTGGAAATCAGGTCCCACAGCAGATGTGGAAGAGCTAAAATCCTTCATGGGGAATTTGCCCAGGTTTCCTCAGGAGTTGCCTGCTCTTTTGTTGCATCTACACCCCTAGAGAGCTCAAGATGGGCCTGTGGCTCATGCCTGCTCAGTGAACTCAGGCTTGGGAAACAGGGATGTAGGTGTGGCAAGCTCCAACTTAGCCTGGGCTCTGTGCCTCCTCTCACTGCCATTTACCCCAGGTGGGAGTCCAGCCTGTTTTGGGGTTTTGTCCATCATTGAAATCTTCTGAAGGATTTCTCTGGTTTTGAGTTATGAGAGGAAAAGCCTGTGAAAGTGTGTGTGTGTGTGTGTGTGTGTGTGTGCGCGCGCATTCACAACATGTACCCATGCATGTGGGCATGTGTGTTCTGTATTTCTATCTTTAGAAGGCAGGATAAACTAGGACCTAGTCCCAGCTGAGCTAGAGGTCCCAGGAACTGTCCTATCTCCCTATCTCCATCCTTGACTGGGAACCAAAGGTGCCAGAGAAGCCTGAAACCACCCTGAACCAGTGCCACACCCTGAGCAGGGGAGGTGGAGGGCAGGATAGGCTGCCTCCGTGTATCCAGTCTCACCAGCCTCCTTACTAATGCCGCTGTCACTCCCAGACAGAAGGAGAGAGGGAGAGGGCGAGTGAGCAGTGAGGTCAGGGCTGAGCCCTAGAATCTCTCCAGGGCCTGCCAACTGGCAGGGACAAGGTGCAGAGTATCCAGCCAGGTCTGTTCTCTCCTTAATGGACAGTTAGAGCCTTTGCCTCAGATAGGAGCAGCTGCAGGGACAAAGGCCCTTGGTCTCCATAATAAGCAATGCCAGCAACAGGGGAGGATGGGTTATGTCCTAACTCTAACCTAAAACCTGATCCTAATCCTAGTGCTAGGCAGAGTCCTGTCCCCAGTTCCTGAACTGAGCCTTGCCTCCTGGGGTCCTAAAGAGGCCAGAGTGTGACTGGCTGGGTCAGCCTGTCTTATAGGTAAAGCCTCCTTCATGCATAAAGGAGGGCCACATCACAGCTTGGAGCAGGGACAAAATCAACCATGTTTAAGCAGTGAACTTTGTTTATCATCAGAGTCCCTGCCCAGGGGACACATGTCACAGAAAGTTTTCTGCAGAATAGAGGGTTGGCCTGGGTGACTTGGATTATTCCAAACAAAAGGGCTTAGGCAGCAAGTTTCCTCTGGGAAGTGACCATTTCACTGGATGGGCAGTCAGGGCCTGAGTGCACCTCACAGTACCAAGCTCCTTGGGTTTCCAGGATGTGGGGCCATTTCTTTGTGGGTCTTATTATTAGAGGCACAATTGACTGTTATTCTAGATGAGATAAAGGGAAAACTGGTAGAAATTTTGGAATAAATCAAATTTACAGCTCACTTTAGCATCTGCAAATAGGCAGATGGAAGAAACTGGAAAAAGTCAAAGCTTTCCTCAATTGGGTTAAATCCAACTACACATAAACAAAAACTGGGGACTTTTGACTTGCTAAGGAAGAAGAGGTGGATTGGAAGCCCCTGGGATGGAGGTGTGGATTCTTGGGGTTGTGGGCTGACCGGTTGCAGACCCTGGCCAGGCAATGCAGGGAGAAGTATTTAGGAAGTCTGTGTGTCCCTAGGATGGTGGGGACAGGGAAAAGTGGCAAATAAACTCAAGGTGCTGCAGAAGTGCCCTGTGTGTCATGAACACCTGGGTGAAGCAGGTGCCTCTGGTGCCTGCAGCCCATGTCTTGGCCCACCTCTGATGTCATCTACTATGGTGATGGATGGATGGATGGTTCCAGGCCAGCTTATACACACCTACTACACAGTCCAATACATGGCATCAAATAAGCATGCAGAGCACAACAGAATCCCACATGATGTCACTGTCCACCATCTTGACCATATCACACCCATTCTCCTGTCCATCAAAAACGGGATTTAAGGGGATAGCATATACCCTTGCCTCTCTAGGGGGGCTGTTCTCAGTTAGACCACGTACACAGGAGTCTTTTCAGACAGAACTGGACAAAGTTGTGGGTTTTCCTGGGAGTGATAACTGGGTGTGGAAACTCAGAAGGAGCCTGAAAGTGATCTGCACTTGTCCTGTGGCACCAAGGACTGTGCTCCCAGGTCAGACACCCCCTTCTCCATTCCACCTCACTCCACCTTGGGATATGAGAAATGACATGGTACCTTCATGTCCAACAAGAAGACCAGGATGTGGGACCAGGAAACCCCTCAGGGACCACCCAACCCCACATTTTCATTTTAAGGTGAGAAGCAGGCTCCCCAGAGAGGGAAAAGAGTTCCCTGTCCCCTCCCACTAGGTCACCCTCATCTCTGAGCAAGGTCCCTGTCTCTTCCTTATGGAAGTCAAGGAGACTTTTTAAAAATTATGATCATGTCACTCTTTCTCAGGCATGGCTCTCCAAGGATGACGAGTTCAAAGGCAGCCTCAGCAACTGAGCAAGGCCCTCAGCAACTCAGCCAGACCCTGTCTCTAAATAAAATATAAAAAAGGGCTGTGGGTGTGGCTCAGTGGTTAAGCACCCCTGGGTTCAATCCCTGGCACCCAAAACGAAGAAAAAGAAAAAAGAAAAAAAGAGTGTCTTCCCATTGCTTTCAAAATGGAGCCATATCTTTGGCATTGTAAAGAAAATTCTTCCTTGCCCTCCTGCTAAATTTGAGGTAACCTTAGGAACACCTTATCACTGCCTAGGACCTTGCTGCCCCTCTGCCCCCTGGCACACGCTATGCCATCTACTCTGACTGTCCTTCAGCTCTGCACTTCAGTCAGCCCAACCCACTCCTTCCCACCCTTCAACACACCTGAGTCTCACCTCCTCTGTCTTGTCTGGGTGGGGCAGCCCTCCCTGGTGCCCCTGTCTGCCAGGCTGGCCTATGTCTCCACAAGGTGCCTAGTTTTCCCTTTGTATCCTCTACCGGCCTGTGCTGTGGCTCTCGGAGGACAGGACTGTTGCTCTTCACTCACTGTCCCCACCATCCATCAGAAAGTCTCAGGCTTGGGCTCAGTGTTCACTGCGGAAAGAACAAATGCCTTGGACACAGAGCTGAGGAAGCAAAACTCTTCCGTTTGACCAAACTTGTGGGTGTGTGTATACATGTCTGTGTGTTTGCCTGGGGAGTTAGTTCAAGGGATCCTTGGGTCCCTATAGACCCTTATTATTATCCATGAGCAGAATACATAAAATGTCTATTATTTTTCAAAAATATATAAATGCTCTGTGATGAAAACAATAGAAACATTAAAAACTGGTCCAGAGTCATAATCACTCTTGTGATTACATGTGGTTTTCATTTCTTTGGACCTCGGGGACATACAATTGAGTTGGTCATAGTCTTTGATTTATGAACACTTGCCAATAGCTCATTCATGGCCTCACTGTATTTTAACTTTGGTCTTTTCCTTTATGGAAGTTTTCAGGTAGTAGTGACAGTAACCGGCCTACCTCCCAGTCCCAAACCGATCATTACTGATCACTTACATACTTATTTACGCACTCCTTCCCTGGAGGGAATGTCCCCTAGAAGGTTGCCTTTATCATTACTGTGGTCTTATTTTTTCCCCCGGTTTTTTTCACATGTACATGTGTCTAAACAACAGTATCTTTGAACTTTATGTTTGTTATTATGAGTTCTCACAATCAATGGACAGTAAAAGGAGGCCACTACCTTGTGGAGATTTAAGAAGGGATTTCCCAGGCCCAGTGGGCATCCTAACAGTTCACACGTTCCCCTCAGGGGCACGTCTATTGAAGGACGGTGCATTCCCATGGTAGCTGCCAGGCAGCGCCAGCAGTGATGTGGTGAATGAATAGTTAATGACATGGGGAAGTGTTCACTCTGAGTTATTGGAGGAAAAGCTGGTTATAAAACAATGAACCCAGTCTTGTCCCAGTTTTGTAAAAATCTGTGTCCTCCCACCAGGTTCATCCTCCTCTCTGAGCAACTCAACTGGGGTCCCTGTTTCCTCCATGTGGAAGACGAGGAGACTTTTTAAAAATTATGATCGTGTCACTCTTTCTCAGGTGTGGCTCCCCAAGGATGACGAGTTCAATGCAAATAAAAACAAACAAAAAGCCCAGCATGAGGCTCTATGGTTCTATAATATTATATAAAAATTCCTGGATCGTGGGATCATGAGCACT